GATGCAGTCCAGAGCCTCAAGCAGCATGGTTCCACTGGCATTGCCATCCTTACGGGTGACCTTCCATCCCTTGAACCAAGGCATGTTAGCACTTGGCTCCAGCATGTTGTCACCATTCCAACCAGAAATTGGCACAAATGCTACTGTGTCAGGGTTGTAGCCAATTTTCTTAATGTAAGTGCTGACTTCCTTAACAATTTCCTCGTATCTCTTCTGGCTGTAGGGTGGCTTAGTGGAATCCATTTTGTTAACACCAACAATTAGTTGTTTCACACCCAGTGTGTAAGCCAGAAGAGCATGCTCTCGGGTCTGCCCAGTCTTGGAGATACCAGCTTCAAATTCACCAACACCAGCAGCAACAATCAGGACAGCATAGTCAGCCTGAGATGTCCCTGTAATCATGTTTTTGATGAAGTCTCTGTGTCCTGGGGCATCAATGATAGTCACATAATACTTGCTGGTCTCAAATTTCCACAAGGAGATATCAATGGTGATACCACGTTCCCGCTCAGCTTTCAGTTTATCCAAGACCCAGGCATACTTGAAGGAGCCCTTTCCCATCTCAGCAGCCTCCTTCTCAAATTTTTCAATGGTTCTTTTGTCGACGCCACCGCATTTGTAGATCAGATGGCCAGTAGTGGTGGACTTGCCCGAATCTACGTGTCCAATGACGACAATGTTGATATGAGTCTTTTCCTTTCCCATTTTGGCTTTTAGGGGTAGTTTTCACGACACCTGTGTTCTGGCGGCAAACCCGTTGCGAAAAAGGGGGGCACTGATAATTAGAATATTGAGTCGCTTTATGTTGTCCCATATGTCACAAAGCCTTTCTCATTCTTTTTTATTCTTTTTATTTATTTTTGTCTGACTGGATTATTTCAAAAGATTTCAAGTTCTGAGATTCTTTATTCTGCTTAATCTAATCTGTTGTTGGAGGTTTTGACTGTATTTTGTATTTTATTCAATGAATTCTTCAGTTACAGAATTTCTGTTTGGTTCTTTTAAAAATGTGTATCTCTCTGATGAATTCTTTTCCAATTTTCTATATTGTTTTTCAAAATTATCTTGTTTGCTGAGCTTCTTTAAAAGCAGTAATTTGAATTGTTTACCCATGATTTCATTGATTTTTTTATTGGTATCTGTTGCTGTAGAATTATTGTGTTCCTTTGAAGGTGTCATATTTTCTTGCTTTCTCATGTTTCCTGTGTCATTATGTTAATATCTGCACATCTGGTGTAACAATCACTTCTTCCAATTTTTGTAAATTTACTTTTGTAGAGAGGACTCTTCTCTGAAGATTATCTATGATGTTGGTTGAGTAGGGCATTTTGGGTTTCATTTTGGATGCAAGCAATAGCGTAGTCTCTATGATCTCCTTGGCTATAAATAGCGTCAGTGGTATCTGTGATTTCCTTGATAGCTTAGGGTGTGGATAATGGAGGCTGTGGTAAAGTTTTCTGGGAACTAAGTTATTAGGTAGGCCAGTCTTCTGGTCCCAGTGGTACAGCAGTGGGCTGAAGATGCCTGTCTTTGAGCCCCAGAGTGATGTATGCTGGCTCTGGTATTAGTGGATCCAAGTGGGCCAATTATTGGGCTTCCAGGTGTCTTGCTGAAATGCTAGTAGTAGCAGCAGTGGGCCTGGCATGTAAACTGGTTCTCTTGCTCTAGGTGAGCAGGCTTTATGTGAGCAATGGCAATAGCAGTGATTCGGCCACTCACTGAAATCCAAGTTGGTCTGAGCTGTAATGGGTTGGATGGGCCAGTCTCATGGTGCTTGCAAGTGGGTGCCAATTGTTGTGGTACCAGGGGGTTGAGTTGCCCCCACCTCAGACCCTGGGAAGAGTGCACATGTACCAGCAGTGATAGACTAGGCTGGATGATTGCCAGGCCCCTGGATGGCATTTGCAAGTACTGAGGAGACAGGACCAGGTTGCCAGAATTGAGACTTGTCCTCAGGCCCCCTGGTAATATGTTCAGGCATACCTATGATAGGCAGGAACAGGGTGGTCCCCAGGCAGTCAGAAGAATGCTCAGATGAGGGCAGTGGTGGCTTCAGTTCAGGGCTGCCACTGGGGAGGGCACAGACACTCTCATTGGGAGCAGCATAGGTAGGTAGTTGTGCAGCATGTGATTTGCTCATGCGTCAGTCCCCCAGCAGCTTGCAGCACTAGTGACAGTGTTATTTATCCTTAGGGTGCATGAAAGGATCTGGCCTCATCTCCTCCCTGACCTGGTAGTAGCATCAATGGCACCAAAACCAGGGTAAGACAAGTCCTTTAGGGGCTCAGCTTTCAGAATGTCACTGTGCTGTAGCTGCTCAGGGCTTACGGGCCTGTGGGTCACAGCATGAGCTCTCTCTTTGAAACAATACCACTGTGCAATTTCTGTTAGTCTCGAGGACTGTGAGGGTCGAGGGGCTCTCCTGTGAGTAGGATAGTATGTGGTGGAAATGTGGACCCTGAGAGGTCTCTCACTTAACCCCTTCCCTATGTTAGGGAGCTTCTCCCAGCTCCCAGCCAAACCCCACTGAGCAGGCTACATTGCTTCCTTTTCCTTTGTTACTTTTGGTGCTTCCTGTCACTTTTTTGTTGAATTCCAGTGTTCTCCCTTAGATGATCTATTCAAAGTGTGAATATCTACTTGCTATTTTGGTTCTTCTCCATGGTAGAGGCACGTAGCTGCCTGTTGTTTGTTTGTTCGTTTCTTTTTTTCTTTCTTTCTTTCTTTCTTTCTTTCTTTCTTTCTTTCTTTCTTTCTTTCTTTCTTTTTGAAGAGACAGCATCTTGCTAGATTGCCTAAACTGCACTTGTACTCCTGGGCTCAAGTGATCCTCCTGCCTTAGCCTCCAGAGTAGCTAGGATTGTAGGCATGTGCCACTGCACCCAGCTAATTTGCTATTTTTTAAAGTACAAATGTGGACTTTTGCTTGGTTTACATTCTGAATATACCATCAAGTCTGAGGTTTGACTTTTCTCTTTTAACTTATGAGCAAATAGCTATATTGTATAAATATTTGTGAATGGGCTTATGTCGGAGGAAAACAAATAAACCAACATACCTAGCATGGAAGTAATCTGACACATCACATTTAATTATGTGCCTCAGTCTTGAGGGCAGAGATTAGATGGCATGCATTTTCACATCCTGAACCTTACAAAGTGTGTGCACAGTGCAGGCCCTCAGGAAATGTATGTTGAAAGAATTGATTATGAAGCTTCATAGGCATAGTTTTGGTTAATTCTGTGTTTACTTTGCCAAACCAAGATTTTCTGAGAAGGATGAGGGGAGAGGAGAGAGCTAGGTGCAGTGAAAAGCCTTTTAAAGGAAGAACAGAAGTTGAAGAGCAAAGTGGGCCAGGGAGTCAGGAAACAAAAGGGTGATGTGTGGGGACAGCTGTGGTCTCTCTTTCCTTTCTGCCACCAGCAGGAGGCTGGGTCAATCCCCTCTTCAGTAAGGGCAGACACTGCTCCTACAATAGGGAACCCAGCACCGCAGAGCAAGCCAGAGTCTGCTGTGTGTAAAACCTCCAGTCCTATAGAATTCTAGTCCCCAAGCCCCCATATCTCCCAAAAGGGGAAGGCCCAGTCACCTGGGTCTCTTGAGGTCAGGGCTTCCGGAACCAGGAAAGCCAAGCTTACAAGGAGAGGTCATTTATTTACACTGGGCAAGCAATGCATGATGCGAGAAGACACAGAGTAATCTGTCTGCCTTAGTGACCAAATAGATCCCTTTGCCTCATCCTCCTGTGGAAGCAATCAAGAAAGGGAGGTTGGGCGAGGTGACCTTCCAGAGCTGAATCTGTGCTTCTAAAAATAGAAGCATCCTTGGAGAACTGAGGAGGGGAGGGAAAGCTGTGGACACTGAGGGCAAGAACCTGAATCCTCAGAGCATTGTCAGTAGGAAACTGTATTAATTAGACACAGGCACCTCAGCTCGATAACCTCAGGTATCTCTCAGAAATTGAAACGAAATGAAATGGCTTTTGTTCCCCCTCCTTTCTGGTTATACTCCCCGTGAGCTAAAAAGGAGAAAGAGAATTGTGTCTTCTGACCTATTTGAATGGCTGCACACTGCCTGATATATCTTCCCCAGTAGAGGGAAATGGGGGTCTTTAGAGGCACATTAAGAAAAGGAAAGAGCTGCCACAAAGTGGAACTATGAGAGGGAGGCACAAGGGCCACCTGGCAGTCTGGGTCTCTGTTCTCTCCCTGCATGGAGGCAGTGCAGGACTAGGCAAGTACTCGGATGTGTCCAGGGCTCTGAATGTGTAGGCTCGCAGGGTGCCACTCTCAGGCTCACACAGTGTCCTTATTTGGAGCTATGCGACAGGCTGTAAGTTTCCAGGGTCCAGTGGAGCCCTGTGCTGGTCTGCACAGATTGTGTGCAACCAGGGTGTGCGCTGTGCTCTGTGGCATGGGGATTGCGTGTGGGAGGTTGGGCGTATGCAGGGGTATACAGGGATATGGTGGCAAGTTTGAGGGGGCTGTGTAGGGGAGTGTGTGGGGCGGTGTGGAAACCTGTTGAGAGGCTTCATGATGCTGCATAGGGCTGTGTGCAGAGCTATCCTGGACTGTGAGTGGCGCACCACAGTACTGCAGGGCACCTCTTTGTGTAGCTTTGACCTAGAGGCTCTGTGTGCATTGTAGTAGTGGTATGAATGGAGCCACATGGGGCACTCTGCACTGGAGGATATGTTCTGGGCTACCTGGACACATGAGTCTGTACAGGGCTGCCTGTGGCTGGATACATGGTGGCAGAGGCCTGAACAGGCTTACAGCTTTGCCATCCAAAGATAGATTATGCCTCCTTAGGGTGAGGTGCTCCCAAAGTGCAGGGATTTATTATTCTCCCTGAGACTGACATGAAGGGAAGAGATACCAGGGATTTACAAGCTGAGCAAAAGGGGCAGTGTGTTCCCTTTCAGTGAGGCCTGAAGCTGAGCCTCTTGCACACCAGTCTGGAGACACTTTCTAATACTTTAGTTTGTGCTTTCTCAACAGGACAACGTGGATCTGGGAGAGCTGATGTTTTCCCTGTGCTATCTTCCAACGGCTGGCAGGCTGACTATTACCATTATAAAAGCAAGGAATTTAAAGGCAATGGACATAACAGGAGCATCAGGTGGGGCATTTTCAAATTCAGACTTTCTCATGCACTTCTACTGTAGTAAGTACCTTATGAAGTTTTAGTAAGGTAATAAAGCACGTTGACTCTGGAACCAGACTGCCTAGGCTTAATCCTAGTCCTAACACCTGTGTGACCTTGAGCAAGTCATTTTACCTCTCTGAGCTTTGGATTCCCATCGGTAAGATGAGAGTAATTATGGTATCTGGCTCACTGGGCTGTTGTAAAACTGAATTAATAAATATAAAGCCATGAGAACAGTGCTAGCATATATTAAGTGCTACATATTGTTAGTTATTGTTATTAATACAGTTAGCCTTCTGTATCCACCAGTTCCACATCTGTAGATTCAACCAATGATGGATTAAAAATACTCAGGAAAAAAAATACAACAATAAAAATAATACAGTTTTTTAAACAATACAGTATAACAACTATTTACACAGCATTTATACCAGATTAGGTATTGTAAGCAATCTAGAGATAATTTAAAGTATACAGGATAATGTGCGTAGGTTATATGCAAACATGATGCCATTTTATATAAGGGACTTGAACATCCTTGGATTTTCCTATCCGTGAAGGGTCCTGAAACCAATTCCTTGTGGATAACAAGGGACAATAGTACTCTCTTGGGTCTCCCTCACCATAATTTTGAATTGGACCTATTGTTTACACACACTGATAAAGCTTATCTAATTTGGTCTTTCCTCAAATATCATCCGAGGCTCATTGAAGGCTGAGAACAATCCTATTTCCTTATTAAAGTGAACTATGAGTTTTAGTTTTTCCATTAAACCAAGCATTAAATTCTGAACCCTAACAAGAAAAAAATGCCTCTATATGCATTGCTAACTGCAAATTCACAAGCAACCTCTGCAGGTGTTTCCCAAATGTGGTCACAAAACACCCAATACACCCTGGCTTACATCCTCTGAAATCAAAGAACACCATATGCAATATATTCTGCATCCTATACCCCAGTGTTTTTTTTTAAAGCAGAAAAAAAAAAATAGCTGTGGTCCCTCTGGTCATCTAAGTCCCTACTGGACTGTATATAGGAGTCAGAGCAATGCATGGTTATGCAGGTGAAAAGAGAACAAGGACTTCCCACCGAACAGAAGAAGAGTGAGATAGCTGTTAGGACCAGAAGAGCCCTATCTGGAGCAGAGGCCAGCCTTGCCACTTGTCACCCCATCACAGTGTTGCACCACAAGGAAGCCTGTGGCCTTTCTCTCCCTGATATGCTGAGCTGCTTCTCCCTTTGCAACCCAAGGGCAGGCCACTCTAGGGGCTCAGGGTCTCTGTACTTAAGGAATTCCACTCGCAGATGTTCTCTCTGTCCTCTAGGAATTCAGAAATTAAAAGAGTCTAGGAATTCCCTTTCTTAAAATCCTGAAAATATTCCCTGAGGTGGCTCAGAGTTGGGGGGCCTGTTGTCAGCCTTGGAAATGCCGGTGCATTTCTCTTCCCATCCTGGCCAGGCCAGTCTTGAGTTCTAGCTGGAATGTCTCCTAATTCCATAACAGATGTTTTCAAACTATTTTTAAATTTCACGCATTTTCAGGAGACAGTATCCTGTGCTTTATCTTGAATTAGTGACTTAATTATCCTCACTCTAGTTGCTCCCCAGATATCATATTAATGACAATCCTCCAACTCCAGTCCACAGGCAGGTAAAGGAATTCGACATACCATAGTTCATGAAAACCCACAGTGATATAACTGCCCACCTAAATCTACACTAATCCTCACAGTACTCCTGCTTCTCATGGTCTGTCCAGATCCCTACGTGAAAGTCTCACTGATGTGTGATGGCAGACGACTGAAGAAGAGGAAAACATCCACCAAGAGGAACACCTTGAATCCTGTTTACAATGAAGCCATAGTCTTTGATGTCCCTCCCGAGAACATTGACCAAATCCACTTGTCCATAGCAGTCATGGACTATGACCGGTGAGATACCTGGAACTCTTTTCCAGTGCAAGTTCAGTGCGTCCAGGGCTGGGAGGGCAGAGGGGGAGCAGCAGCCACAGATTCTTAGCTGGTGTTCCAGGCTGCAGGAAATGAGTCAACTAGCAGTGCATGGGAAGCACATTGACAGGAGTCACCTCTAAACCATGCTGTAGAGTCAGACTACCAAAGTGTCTCTCAGCACTCCCATTCTTTTCTGCCCCTTTCTCATTTTTTTTCTCTTCCTCCATCCTCCCCCAACCTCCACCTCTTCCCCTTTTCATCTTTGCATAACTCCTAGAATCTCAGCTTGAAGAACTGTGGCCCCACAGGTTTTATCTTCTGTCAGGCAGTCCTCACTGCCCTTCGTTGGAAAGATTCCACTGAAAATGGCAGAATGACTACTTTAGCCAGACCATCAACATTTCTAAATACACAACTTCAATCTTTTTCCTTCTCGCAAGTATTTAATAAAGATTGTTTCCTTCCACTTAAGTCTGAAAGCAAACACAAAAATGTTCTCCTGAAAATGCGAGAATCAGTATGGATGACAAGGTACATTAAAATGTATAAGATGCTCGACTTTTTAATTAATACAGCACAGAAGAGATATTTATAGCCTGCATTGTAGCCAATTGTGTATTTAAAGGACAGATTTGAAAAACAGTCGTTTTAATATGCAAAGGAAGTACCAACAGGGAATTATACATGTTAAACCAGTCATTAGACTGAAATGCAAAGTCTCTCTTTAATTGGAAACCTCCCACATGGTCTGGGCACATTATTTAAAAAAAATTATTCTGACTTCTAATATTATTTGTGACTAAGGATTTTCCCACATACCTCTGAAATATCAGGAAGGCAGCTTCAGTGACCTGCACACTCTTTCCAGCAGATGCCTGCGTGAAGCATGACAGTCTTCCAACCCAAGGAGCACGTGGATTGGCTCAGCTGCCCATGAGTGTGACAACCCATGCTGAGCAGTAGACCTTGTCCCATCTCCTGTGGGCAAGAAACAACACCAATAGTGTCAGGCCCCAGTAGGGGACATTGCCCACCAACCGTGGAAGCCTAGGCCAGCAATTTTTAAGCTATTGCCAAGTTTCCTGCATGGACAAATCTGATTATGTGAGCTCTGCCTTAATTTAATTCTCAGTAAACTCATGAATCTGGCCTGGAAAAATTCATGGCAGAATTCATGGGGCTTCTGCATGCATTTGATTTTAATGAGCAGAGACTCAAATATCCTTCACATGACCTCCCCACCCTCATCTTACCTTTATGCTCCATTACACAAATAGGAGAAAAATCACTCGTCTTTGCAGGAGGGAAAAAAAAAGAGAAAGTATGTGAGTTTGGATCCTATAGAGTTAAAGAATTGGCCATATCAGTCCAGTTATACCAGGGACTTTTTAAAAAACTGCTAGGGAAAACAAAAATGGCTCAAGGCAGAGACCTACCTAGGGAAAGTTTCAGAAATATTAGCCTTGGCCGGGCACGGTGGCTCACACCTGTAATCCCAGCACTTTGGGAGGCCGAGGCGGGTGGATCATTTGAAGTTAGGAGTTCGAGACCAGCCTGGCCAACATGGTGAAACCCCGTCTCAACTAAAAAATGCAAAAATTGGCCAGGCATAGTGGCATGCACCTGTAATCCCAGCTACTTGGAAGCTGAGGCAGGAAAATTGCTTGAACCCGGGAGCTGGAGGTTGCAGTGAGCCGAGATCATGCCACTGCATTCCAGCCTGGGCAACAGAGCGAGACTCTATTTCAAAAAAAAAAAAAAAAGGAAATATTAGCCTCAAGGTCAAATGAGCTATGTATCTTTCTATAGTTGGGAAATTAAGTGGGCCAAAGAGGCTGAACTTAGAAGAAAAGAGGGATGAGTATAAGACAATAACAGTCTTCTCTAAAGAGAGGGAGCAGGAAGATCTATGAGCTTCCTTCACTTACTCTACTTTGTAGGCTCAAGACCCATGGCTGCCAGACACAAAACTGCTCCCTCACCCATGCTTGGTTGCCTCTTGTGGGAGTTAGAGCAGCCATTATTGCAAGAAACTCTTTTCAGATGGCTTTCTCTTTATTATGTGGAGGCCAGCCTAGATCCAGAACAAGAGGTGGCATCCTTAGCACAAATCATGGGGTTCTTCGAACAAGGTTCTTGGAAACAAGTTGACCCATGTCAGTGTTAGGACAGCCAGGGTATATGTTAGATCCCAAGTTCTATTGGCCGTGATGCTTAGCCTGCAGTTTTAAGTGAGGAAATGAAAGAAAAAAACAAAACAAAACAAAACAAAACAAAACAAAAAAAACTCACCACGTCCCCAATTCCTTCATCAGTTTAATTGAGTAGCTGTTGATCTTACATACCAAAATTTTAAGAAAAAACTATTGTGGGCCATTTTCACAGTGTAGGTCACAATGAGATCATCGGCGTGTGTCAAGTAGGCAACAAGGCTGAGAGGCTGGGCAGAGACCACTGGAGTGAAATGTTGTCATATCCTCGGAAGCCCATTGCACACTGGCATTCCCTGGTGGAGGTAAGACCCTAACCCACATGCTCCACTTTACATAAGAGTAAATGCTTTAGTGTTGAAATGCAGGAGCTGCCAAACATGTGAGCGCACCAGGATGGATGTCATAGACAGGTTTTCCTGGTTACATTTCCTGGGGCTGCTGGGACTTGCATTCAATTTGAGGCTGAATCTGTGCTTCCCACCAGTCTGGTGGGTTTTGAATATTGATCAGAGATCATCCCTCATTTTGATTGTGTTTTTAAAAGATCAAGATTCTGTACTTCTGTGTTAAGGCTTTGGGTTGGTACTTGGAGGGCATCTGCAAGGTGTGGGTGAGTGTGGACTTTCAGGCTTTCATACAGTGACTTGAGACTGACTTTGGAAAAAACATGAGGCCTTGATTCTAAGACCAGCTCTGGCACCAACCTGTGATTCTGGGCAAGCTGGTTAGTATCAGGTTCAAATGCATATAATAAAAACCAAAACAACCAATTATAAATTAAAAACAAATGAAATGAGAATTTATGTCTCTCTCTTATATACAAAAAAGTCTAGAGGAAGGCAGTCTGGGATATCTTAGCAGCTCCATGTTCAACAAGAGACCTAGACTTCTATCTTTCTGCTTCACTGTCCCAGTGTGGCTTTGTTCCTTGAAGTACCCTCATTATACGATATGGCTGCTAAGCTCCAACCACTGCATATTTTCTAGGCCGCAAAAATGTGCAAAAGGGGAAGAGCCGAAAGGGCACACATTCCCTTTTTAAGGATTCTCTTTGAATTCTCATGCAACACTGCTACTTACATTTAGTTTAGTCACAAAACTTAGTCACGTGGACATGTCAAATTGCAGGGAATAGTTAGAAGTGTAATCTTTTTGTTGGGTGTCAATGTGTCCAACTAAAAACGAGGGTTCTGTTTGCATAGAATAAGAGGAGAGTGAAAACCTGAAGGCAATTGGCCATCATTCTGCCACTCACATCGTCATTCATTCACTCCCTCCCCCTTTACTTCTCATTCACTCTTCCCCCACTTATCTTTGCTCATTGATTCACTCTCTTATTTATTCACTAACTCGTTCTCTCAAAAATAATTTGCACTCCCTAAGTAACATTTCTGAGGGTCAAATGCTATAATAGCTACAGAGAATACAGATGAGAATAAGAAACAGTCCTTTCACTTGTAGAACTTACAGACTGTAAAATAAACAAAAGATGACATGTAAACTAATCACTGAGAGACACAAATGTAAGCATTTCCATCCATATAAAGTGCTACAAAAGTGCAAAGGAGAGAGACGTTTATTGTGCTTAGAGGAGACTGTGAAGCATCTCTCCTTCATGCTCTCAATAAGTAAAGAGAACTGAGCCTCCGGGAATTGGAAAACCAGGAAGGCAGTAGCAGTTATTTACTGAGGACACATGGGTTCCAGGCAGAGAACTTTCCACTGTTCTCCTGGTGCAGGCAGCTCCATTCCATGCAAAGCCATCTGAGAGGCCAAGACTAGAGCCTCACCCAGTGTGGGCCCCCCTGCCATTGATAGTCAGGTGAGTCTGGCTGAAGTGAACACAGGGCAGTTGTGGAGAGACAGAGAGGCCCCAAACCCAGACAGGGGAACCAAGGGACATCTTTGTTGGAGGTGGTGCAGGAAGGAGAAGGGCAAGACAGGGTTTATGGATTCTAACTATCAGGGCACCCAGATGTATTCAAGAAGAGCCTCAGGCCCCCTAATTTGCAGGTTCCTAAGGATAGTTCTGCCCCTGGGCCATAAGAGCAAAAATCATTCTTTTCTAGACTCAAAATTAATCCCTAAGGGAGACCCACAGGATCTATGAGCTACTTGAGAAGGAGCTGGGGACTGGTGTCCACTGAACTATACCTCACTTCTTCAGCTCCTGGTGGAATTCTCAAAGGAGTCCATCTGCGGGCTCATTAAATTTTGGGGGCCTGTCACTAGCAGTGGCATTTAGAAGAGTTGTAATAGACTTTTTGCACCCTTATGAGCCATTGCTGATTTTAATTCTTATTTGTAATTAGTAGTATCAGAGAGTATTAAAGTTCTGTGCTTCTCAGGAAACAGGAAATGAGAAAGGAGTAAGGATGAGGCGTGTGGTGTAGGGCTGAGAGATGAGCCCTGATTCGTGCACCAGCAGTTTTTTTTTTTAGTGACCTAGGCAGGGGAGTAGCCCCGGGCAGAGTGTTGCACATGGGCCCCTGAGTGGCAGTATATGCATGTGTTACACAAAGGAGAGTGCAGGGAGCAGGCCTTGGAGGCCTTTTCCTTCATGGCTGAGAAAAAGTGTGGTATAAATTCGTTCACCTGAGAGATATTCCTTAAACCCCAAACACTCAGCTTTTTGGAAATCTGTGCTCCACAGTTATGTAACTGAAAAGTAAATGCCATTAGGGTTAAACCACTGAAACTTAGAAGTCATTTGTTACAGCGGCTAAAATTACTTTGGCCAGTACAATGGTCATTTCTCAACTGTTACAGCAGAACTAAGGAAATGAAATGCCTGCACGGCTTATATGAAGGACAAACCTTCATATAAGCAGAGGGAGGGCAAACCTTCATGTAAGCAGAGGCAGAGGGAGGCTGCCTCTTCCCTGTTGCTTCCTGTGTCTTTGAAGTACACGTCCGGGACTCCAGATCCATCCTGAGAGAGGAAGTGATGCTTTTTCTTTTAAAAACGAACGTTGAGCTCGCAGAATTGGGGCAATGGTACCAGATGAGATGAAAAACAGTATTGGAGAGGTTGGCCATACTTCGTTAGCAGCTGTAAGGATGGAGGAGGCAATAGGCAGAGTGGCCAGAAACATTCACTTTGGAGTTGGAAGGGCCTACATTCAAATTGCTGTCCTTCCACTCACTAGATGTTTGTTTTTCGCCTTCTGAACCTCAGTGTTCACATCTGTAAAGTGGCCATAACATTTCCTGTCTCACAAGAGGGATGGTGAGGATTAAACAATCTATTGATATGAAATGCAGCATTATAGCTGATGTATATATAGTAAACACTCAGTAAAGCTTTCAGTTACAGTTGTTATTATATATGCCCCAGATTCTGAGGGGCTGCTGTGTGTCCTTATGGGACTATGTCCTATGAAGAAATATCATCCATGTGTGTCATGGAGAATAAGAGAAAGGCCAGGAATCCACCACTCCTGCACCCCAGTGAGCCATCATCTCAGATTGGAGGAAGGGGTCATCCAGTACTTGGCTAAACCAGATGTACATATTTAAGTTTTGTTTCTTTTCCTCTTTTTCGTGGTCTTAAAGACAAGCTGCTGTTATGCTCTCTAAGAACCTTTTAAATGTCTGCTTTAAAACAAAAACCAGCAATTAAATCTCAGTGCTCATGATAACAGAGTATGTGAGGGTGCACTCATGAGCATGTGTGTATAGAAGACAGAGAGAGAGGGAGAGAGAACAAAGATGGGGGCACTGGGATTTAGCATGGAGGGAGGCTGGCCTCACAGAAGCTCTTCACTGCTGAGGAATTGGTTAGGTCTAAACTCTGCGCCCTGCAGAGATCTGGCAGCCTGCTCAAGGTTGTGTCCAGTACACCCTGACCTTGCCCGGGCAGGTGGCAGATGGAATCTTCAAAGCCAGTGAGTTCAAAAATCCGTTTCTCTCACAGGGATTCTGGATGACTTCACTGCACACTCAAAGGTCAGCCAGTAGGGCTCCCTTTACTCCCCATGATGTCAAAGGTTTGGAAAGCTGTGAAAACTCCCCCGAGCAGACTGCCTGGGGTTTAGGGATCAGAGCGCCCCCTTCATAGGGCCTCAGATGACAGAGCTCTAAGAGCTCCCTTCGCTCGGCACCCTTGTCCACCAATTCAAGAGAAGATGGTGTTGGCCTGGCCATATCGCAACACCTTTCCTACCCTCCTATATGTCAAGATGACCAACATCATGAGCCTCGTGGAGAATAACAGGACATAGTTCCAAGTTTTCATCGCTTCCCTGTGTAGTGCCATGTAACATCTGTTGTATGAATAAGTACTAATCTTGGTTTGGTGGGAAGAACAGACACAGATACTATCTGGTTAAATGAAATTTCACTTTTCTAAAAGACAGAAGAAAGAGAATCCAACCAGAATATGTAGTCAAGATCAGCAATATTATCCTAATAGGCATAGGTGTAAGATTCCAAACACCAAAGTTCTATTCAAGGCGTGGCCCATTTTGGATGTCTTCCTCACTCCAAGCTCAGCCTTTGTACATACACATACATACAGCTACAAAACTCTGCATGTCTGACTGTCTGCTGGGACCAGCTCATTGAGAGTCCTGGCCCTCTTCAACTCAGGACTACATAATGCCAAGCATAACCAGAGGGCAGTTATGGTACAATATGCCCAGACATAAACAGAGCCCTCATTTATCACCCTCAGCATCCAGAAGGGTATAAACGTAGAGTCAAAGGACTACAGCAACTGTCAGTTTTACCCAGACTTGTCTTGGAGTTACACAAGTAGCCCCTGTAAACCATGTCTAGATATTATCTATCAATTGTCCAGCAGGGCCTATCTGGAGTCTTGGAGGTCCACATATTCCCAGGAGAATGTATCTGATTGCCCAAGATTTGATTAGGTGTCCATCCTGGTGCAATTTGCTGCGGGTCTGGAGTCATGAAAATGTGACCTGGTACCCACCTCAGCAGGAGTTTTGGGAGTAGAGTTCTTGAGAAGAGTCCTCACAGGACAGGGAAATTGTCTAAAATGAATGTGAATGACTGCCTCCCAAAGGAATTTAAAGTGAGAGGCTTTAGCACTATGGCCAAATTGTTATTCACAACAGATTTAGGAAAGGAGTAACTCACCAGGAAAGATGGGAGTGGGGAGAGGATGGGGTGACTGGGAAAAGCCACGTAGGAAATCAGGCTCCCATCAAGGGGATTTGGTTGTGTTGCAGGGCTTGGGTCTTGTTGAGAACCAGACTAGCAGGGAAGAAGACTGAGACATGAGAAAAAGAAAAGCATGGACTGAAACATACAATGGGGAAAATCCTAGAAAGTGCTG